GTGTGTGTGTGTGTGTGTGTGTGTGTGTGTGTGTGTGTGTGTGTGTGTGTACTAGAACCTGAGCACAGAACCCAGCCCAGAAGGGCATCTTGTTGGAGGCTCTTCAGTACACACTATTTCCTTAGGTGGTTACCCAAGAGGTTCTGCACCTGGTGACCCTCCTGGAGGACACAGAGTTTCTGTGACAAGCTGCCCTATGAACTCAGACATGGCGAGGCTACAGAGTCATAATCATGGGCTAAGCGCTCTCTATCTTCTACTTTGTTACTTCCATAGAAGAGGCATTTCTATACCAAACACAAGGAATATTTCTGTAGCCATGGCTATCCCAGAACTCACTATGTAGAGGAGGCTGGCCTTGAACTCACACAGATCCATCTGCCTCTCAAGATGTGTGCCACTACAAATAGCTGGAAAAATCACATTTTTAATGGTAAAATAGCAGACTTGCTTTAGGCAGCCTCAGACCTAGTTCCTGGATGCTTTAGGTCAACTCTTTCTGCTTAGCTCATCACCTTCAAAAAATGACAGGGACTGAGGCCCCCAGCACATCGGGCTGTCTTGTCTGGCTTCAATGGAAGAGGACGCATCTAACCCTGCAGAGACCTGATGTGCCAGGGTGGGGAGATAAAGGAGGGCCTGTCCTCTCAGAGGAGGACTCTGTGAGGGAGGACTGGGAGGGGGGGTGTAAATAATTAATTTGGGATGTAAATAAATAGATAAATTAATTTTAAAAATTACGATACCTAATACATACAATGAAACTGGTAGGATTCGGTTTCAATAACCCAGTTTAAAACTTAAAAACAATAAACTAGAAATTAAACAAGAAAAAAAAAATGGTGGGGAAAGTTCTGTTCTCAGACCCTGTGTATTAAAGTGATTTCCTGAAGCCAGAAGCTGAAATCCACAGTGAAGCAGTCACTATCATTAAACAAAACACACCCCACACTGCTGCTCTGCCAGCTGATGGCCCAATCAACATATGCAAAAAGGAAGCCAGATTACAAAGAACAATGAAACTCAGACCTCCAGCAAGAAACTCAGAATGCAGAGGGGAACTCTGTATCTAAATGATGCTAAGTAATAGGCTGCTGGTACCCTCTTCCTTCAGGCTCCTCAGGTCAGTGTGACAGGGGCCTCAGGCCTAGGCAGTGAGGCACAGTCTACCAAGGACTTTCAAGTAGGAAGAGCAATCCAGCCTGAGCAAGCCAGATGCCCCTCCTTCCAGTACTCTGGGCTCTGGAGCCACCAGTCTTGTAAAGGGTTTGTGACTGAGATTGGACCTCAAGAAAGAAAAGGACCCAGAAATCTCTGGTTTGAACCTTGATGATGCTAGGTTTCCCTACAACAGACCAGGAAGGATGACTGATGGCCAACCACATTTTAGCTTTTGAAACTCCCACTGATCTGTCTTTGCTACACTCAAGGCTCAAAGGGTGTGCCAGGTTCAGCAGGATGCCCTGCTGATACTTCTCTCCTCACTTAACAGGTCCTGAAAGACAGCTAGGCTGGGGAGATCTATGTTTCCACTCCCTCCAAAGCACAGGCAGGTCTGAGGTAAGGAGTCCTGCCACAGGCACTCCACCCTGTCACCCAGTACTGTGGAGCTCAGACACTCCTGGTTCCTAGATGCCATCTGGAATCCTGCTCAGCAAATCCTCCCCAACTCTTCCTCTCATGGTCCTCCCAAGCCAGCAGGACTGCAGTGCTTTAAAACAAAATGTCCCTTTTCCTGGGGTAAAAGAACAAATCAGAAGGAAGAAATCCACACCCTGACAGCTCAGGATAGAATCAGACTCCACAGGAGAGGGCATCTAAACCGTATGGGACCCGTGAAGCCCTGTCTCCCCAGGCACCTGGCCAGTACGAGCAAGAAGATCCACAAAGGAACTCGGGAACAGCTTGCACAAAGCCCAAGACACCCAAATCCCAAAGCATTCCCACGTCTCGTTTTAACACTCTGAATTTCCGCTCTGATCAAGAATGGCTCACTTTCAGTTTGCTGTGAAAATGAGAAAATACCTAAGTTTCCTTCATTTTAAATTACTCCTCCTAGAGCCTGCTACACTAAGCCCCCACGATAACATGAAGCCTCTCGTGGGAATGACAGGAGGCTCCCTGGCTGGTTGGTCTGCTGGGATAGTGTGCACCCAGGGTCACCCCCGTGTGGCCACACGTCTCTTGCTGCCAACAGCACATTCCTTGTGGGCTGGAAAACTTCTAGCACTTCAGGTCCCACTAACGACAGAGCTATGTGTGACAGCCTGTCAGGAGGAAAAGGGGTGGCAGGCTGGTGCTCAACATGAAGTGTCAGCTCTTACAGTTGCCATGACTCGGAAAGCTTCAGCTTAAATGTGTCACAGCACAAAGTTCCCATCCTACAGAGCCTTGCCAGCCAGGAAGCTAATGACTGCTTAGGAAATACAGAGGGGAGGGGGGGCGAGTGAGGTCTGAAGGAGACATGACCTTTCCCAATTAGGAAGATACCAAAGCCGGGGAGTCCTGTCCCATACAGGGAGGAGGAGTCTCTGCCTCCTCATCACTGGGAAGTTTTGATTGAGTTGTGGCATGGAGAACACACTCTCTACCCTCAGATGAGCAACAAGGCTGGTTAAAATCAGCCATGTCCAGGAGAGCCCTTATGGACAAAGTCACATATTATGACATGCCTGGCTGCTTCCATGTGTGCAGGTTGGGTTCTATGAATAACATGGGGCTCTGAGTCAAGTGACTCATCAATGGAGTCAGCTAGAACTGGGGACCCACTAGAATGTATAGCTCATGCTCAATAACCAACACGTTGGCGTGGGCTCCCTCGAACAGCAACACTGTTAGACTGTGTTCATAGCAGTACCCTCCACGGCCTTTACTGGTCCATCTCCAGCAGTATGCCAAGATGGAAGATGCCTGCTGTGCATAGGAGCACAGCTTTGGGGAGCCTTGCAGATAACTTCTGATGTCTGATATGGGGGGTACTAGAAGTCACTTGGCAACCTTCCTCTCCCTTCTGCAACCTCTGCTAGATGCCCACTCCCCAGCACTCCCAAGTTCTATAAAACCAGTAAGTCCTTTAGGCCATGAAGGTCTGACCAAACTTGATATATTGTCTGAAGCCATACCTTCAGGGACCTCTGCCCTCTTCTACTGTGTTTAGACGATTCTTGCGCCACTTAGTCATGCCTTCCATAGACTCTAGGCAAGGACCTCTCCCACAACCTAGGAATATCCAGGGTATATGGTCCTGTTAGTATTCAGTCCAAGGACCTCAGTCCAGCACATAAGGCCTGCCCATGTCTGAGCAGTCCAAGCCACTAGCTAGCTCCTCTCTCTCCCAACTCACCAAAGCAAATTACCACTCAGGTCACAGAGTTCAGTGGCAGGCTTCTCTTATATACAGACCCCAGTTCTCAAAAAACGGCTGCCCGTGAGGCATCTCCTATCCCTCTCTCCCTCCCACTAATGGTGAGTGAACTGCATGCTAACCATCAACAAAATCACTAAACCTTCCTGAATTTCCTCCATTCCTGGTGGAAAGATCTGATGTCCCTGATGCAAAGCCACTGGATGCCACCCACATCCCTAGTACATGAGCCAGTATTATTAGTAGAATTAAGTCCCCCTTGCCCTTAAAAACTAACTTCTCAATGGTTCTATAGCAGAGGATTCTGGGAGTAGAACCTAAAATAATTTATGACTTGGGATCCTAAATGGAAGAGACTGGTTTCTAGACATTCTCAGTGGCTATGACCATACTAGGCCTTGACAGGCCCACCTCAGTCTTTGAGGGATAGCCACCACCCTGCCCTAAGTCCATCCTGCTTCAGAAACACACTCACTGCCAAGCGATTAACCCAAGGCTCCAGTCACACAGCCAGGGATTTTATGTTCTAAATTAGTTACATTATACCCAGAGCCTATCAGTGGTTTGATAACTTGAACATATAATTCCATACCTTTTGCTCTTTAAACAATAATTCAGTCTAATCCTGCCACTGAAGCCAAGATTCCCACACTGAACGTGCACTTTCTGTTTGATTAAACACTA